TACTTCTGGCGCGCAAATTAATACATGTTGTTCTTTCTATGATAGATTTCTGTCTCTCGACACTCGGAAGTACGTCCAAATTCGGCCGGGTACACACAGCAAATCTCCCACAGTTTAATGGTCCATCATGAATATTACTGAACGCATTATTTTTGATGAGTAAGTAAATGTAGTTCGTTCCTTCCAATGACGGACTTCTACCGCTCCCTTCACGGCTCCACCTCCACGAACGATCTCTTAGCAGTGAAACCTGATTCGATCTATCGATCGATCTTGCAGTGACATAGATATCGTGATCTTTGAATTTGCAATTTTGAATTAGCAGAATGTGTTGATCTCTCCACTGTGCGGTGGAAACTAGCTTGTGGCTCACCGGCACTCGGCATTTCGTTCCAACAGACCGCTTCGACCCTCGAGCAGCCCAGCGTCAACCTTTTGTTATCGTGCATATGCATACTTCTCAGTTAGCATCAATGCATTTATTCCTCCAAGACACTAGCTTTAGTCACGCTTTTCCCCCGACTGTTAGCGGTGTCGAGAACGTCGTGAGTTGCAATAGAGTCAAAATATACAAGAAAAGGCCTTCCTCAACGCAGATGACCTCCGTTCCAGTCTCCAAGACACTTGAAGACCGCAACGGAGGTCGGCAGCTGCTGTAGTAGGTATGCCAGGTTCAGTTACGCAATTCTAGACCTGGAGAAACACCCTGCACGTATATTTCTACTTGTATGCAAGCTACCTCATGCACCTGATGACCAAGGAGGTGTTTTACAGTCGTCTACAATGCTAGGGGATGCAATGAAGTGGGCCTGGTTTTGTTTGGATCTTGAGCGAAGCTTGGCTAGTTGGATTCGCTCTCAGACGCCAAGCATTTGTTAGATCCTCAGGCGCTGTAGGCTTCATGCCGCTACTTTGAAGAGCTTCAACTATATATCCCTTTATAGTCAATGTGAGTATCGTAAATGTTGACTTGAAAGGGGGGACAAATTTAAAATTAGATGCATATGAAGACATGGTTACCTGACTCGAGGGAGAAGATAGACTATCTATTAAGGGCAGCATAATTCTGCAATGTGAACTTAAGAATACGCATCGTTGAAACTTCAAAATTCCTGCCACTTAAACAGGGACAAAGGTTTCATTTGTGTTTCAGTTTGGCACAGGGTTCGCAGAGAGAGTTTTACGGGGCTAACACGCCCTCAAGGGGAAAGTTAAGAAAGCTGAAGCATGCAAGAAGCAAGCGAAAACACGTAGCCGCATGCTAATAAAAAGCACTGGCTACTGTTCACCCCCGTCCCGCTATTCCATATGAACAGCTCTGGTCTTCACGCCCTAACTTATGACAAAATGTCAGCGAAGCAACTACAGGAATATGCGTTTCCCTCTGGAACTCCAGGAAGAAACCTCCATCGCTGCATGATGTTGCTCCAACCGGGCTTTGCGGAAAGTATACAGGAGTCAAACAAGCGTCCCTGAAGCTGTTCGCGCCAGCACTGTCCGCTTACAATATCATTGCAGCCAATCCCCACTAATTGTAAAGGTAAGCTCCCTGCTGGCACAGACATTAATTGACTTGTCCACTCCATTTATTAAAAATCAACCCTACATTCA